AAATGCAATGTACCTGTAGGTTCGCTTGATTTTGTCTGACTTCATTTTTCCTCAAGAGAAACTGACCTGTATTTGGGCCGATCGAATATCAAATTAGACTAGATGACACATGAGGTGAGTAGAGAGGCAGAATGTCTGATGAGATTCAATGAATCCCCTTGAATGCCTCATATTACCACAAATGCTCTAGAATCACCCCATTTGGCAACAGAAATATGTTTCAGGCGCTATCCCGCAGGTCCACCGTGTTTGAACAGAACGAAAAGCATGAAACTCAAGAACTGAGCAGTCAATCAAATGCTTTAACTGGAAATGGGAAAAGATTCGTTATTTTGTAAACCACAACATTAAATTTGCGACAAGATATCGTATGCGGCTGACGCCGTGTGTATGTTATCCCGGGCTTGAATTGTTTCCTGTCCTTGATGAACTTCTGTTTGGCCTTAAAGCCTCTTAGAATGAAGCTGCAGTTCTGACAGTCGGGGTCAGGAAATAAGACGAACACCGACATAATGACGATGGAAGTGGGTTATACTGTAGCTTATTTCAACTTTCACTTTGGACCGGGAATATTTTCCTTTTTCGGTCAGAGCAACAGCTGCCTCTGTGAAACACCTGCTCCTCACCCCTTCAATGTCAAGCAAAAAGAGTTATGATAGTTTCAGGAATGAGGATAGGAACAAAAATTTGTGGTATAAGATATGCCTTGCATATAACAAGCAATGTTTTCATATCCGTTTACCTCACATTGAATTGAAACATTAAAATGTTTCTTTCTGTTACTATAAAGGTTCATAATGGTCTCACTTCACAGCACGAGCACAGCAGTCGTTACCTGGTCCGTTAAAGATGTGTGGTTTCTATTCAACCTTGCAGAGCTCAAAGCATACAGACAGATTCACAAACCAAGATCGATATCACAGCACATTAACCTAATTCTTCTTACACCAAAATGCATCTGCAGGTATTTCTAAATAGCTCAAAGCAAATGCAAACCAAGTGAGTGCTGCTCTAAAATGGAAACGCACACAAGCCAGCCCATCAGAAGCGAATCTGACCAGCCTACGAATCAGCAATAACTTCCTTCCCGTGAATCCCCAGACACAAAACATGTCATTTAGTCATCCATTTCAAGCATGGAAACCAGCTAAGCACATCAGCTAAAAACAAGTCACACTTTTAAAGCTGTCAAAGTTTTACAATAAAGGCTTTTAGATGGTACAAAGTTAGATATATTTATCATGATTGATGATAACCTTAGTGAAACTTTTGTCAAATTTGTATATTAGCCTTTTTTGTTCAATTTTCCATTTTGTTTTTACAAATTTTCAGAAAATGAAGTAAAATAGCTGGTTCTACTTTTATTTTTGTCTCAGGATACATTTACACGATGCACGAAAAACACACAAAAAATGTTTTTTCTTTGCATTTTTCGTGTACAGACAACATTGCCAAAACATTCCACGGTTCACACGGATCTGTGAAAATGATGAGAAGGGTATTCCTGCACAACCGGAGGCTGCAGTTTCAGGACCCCAGTTCTAGGACCGCCGTTTCAGGACACTAGTTTTCTGTTACAGCGCCACCTACCGAACTGGACCACCAAAAACACTAATTTAACCCCTTTCGCGGCGGTAGAAATCACCACTCATAAACAGTGTTGTGTGTAACGCGTTACAAAGTAACGCGTTACAGTAACGTAACTACTTTTTCGGGTAAAAAGTAGTGTAACGCGCTACTAATGAAAATTTGGTAACGAAACGTAGTTCCTTTTTCAATTCGGCGCAACGTTACTTTCCCTAGGGACAGATTATCTGTCCCTGGGATTTGACAGCGATCTCCGTCATTTGATAGATTTGACCGCGATCGCCATCTCCGTAGTGAACACCCCAGAGAGAAATGCACATAATGGATTACATAATCAGAGAGTAGCCTATTTCTTTTCGTTTTGAATTGTTTCGTTTAAAGACATTTCAAGCTTAAATTCTATACATTGAGTTTCGGTTAATTTATGATGAGATGCTCCAGTTCACGTGCAATGCAAGTGACCACGCCGGCGCTTCCATGATTATATTGTCTCCTATATTTGCTTCTTACTTGCAGGCATTTGGTTGATAAAAAATTGATTAAAATTAAGATACAATTTATACAAAACGAAATTCGCTTTAAAGAAAGGCTTTCTTCAAAACAAAACTTAATGAAGTGGTCAAAATCATGTCTGATTGACTCAATGTCTCCCGATATATTGCGCATCCATCTTACTCATGCTGTTCACTTTTCATAATCAGCATAGATGGAAAAAAAATAACATTATAATATTTTAACAAATATGAAACTAAATGCGCTTATTTAATGGCTACAACACGTAGGCTATAGTAGGCCTACAGACTCTCTATTTGTATATTTGCTGCACATTCATTTACTTCTGAATTTTGCACACATCAGTTGAAAGGCATTTGTTTACGTGCATAGTAAAACATATCTGCAACATTTATCAAGTTCACGGATAATTGTGCGTGCATTTATTAATCATTATGATACTAAAATCATAATAAAATCTATACTATGTACAAAAAATCAGATGAGCCCAGAATATGAACGCAACGTGTTTAATTACACGTTAAGCATTTTCCTCACATAGAAAACCATTATAAGAACGCTTAATTTGGCTTAGATTATAATGTCCCCTTATTATGTCTAAATAACAAGATAAGTTTTCTTTTTTTTCTTCACCATGCGGTTCAGGACTTCCATAGAATACAGTCTGAATATAATTACTTCCAGAAATGATTTTTGGGGGTGCTAACGGGGTGCTTTGGTCTTTCTTGGGAGCTTTCTTTCTAGCCCCTCCCTAGCGCCGCCCATGCATATGCCTATCCATTAACCAGCATTTCTTCATAAATATTACATTTTTTGATAAATGCATTATGCATTTATGGCATTATATATGGCATTATGCATAGTAGAACTTTATGTAGGCCTACACATTTAGGAACAGATATAGGGTTCTGCCCAAAGACAAGCAACATAAAAGTAACGTAAAAGTAACGAGTAACGTAAAAAGTTACTTTCTATATGGGGTAACTAAGTAAAGTAACGGATTACTTTTTTAAAGAAGTAACGAGTAACGAGTTACACTACTTTTTAAAAGTAACTTCCCCAACACTAAAGCAGTCATTCACCTCTTCTCCGGTTTATTTGTGTTCACATACATGCAATATACAGCATCCGCCAGGGCTCTTAGTCCAATGGTGCGCATATTTGGAGAAATAATGATTTATCATCACATGTTTGTAAAATATTTTGTCATACAGACTAAAATTTCTATTCATTTTCCACTAAATTATGCGATCTGAAGCTCAAACAGCGAAATCTGTGTCTCCTCTTCCTGATTTGCGTCAGTTATGATCTCAGCGCTCTCTAATTCGCTGTACAGCTGTCAATCATCTCACGTGATTGAACGTGACAATTAATCCTGCCCTTCTGCACGACGCGCTCCTGTGTATGCTGTGTACACTTTCTCATTCTGACCTCCATGATAACAAAGCTAAGACACTCTCTTCACCTGAAACAAGAAGCTAATAAATGCACGATTTCGAGTATATGTGGTTTGTGTGTGATTTTTGTGTGATTTTGGATATTATCATATGAATAAAGAATGTGTACAGTATTGCTAAGCAAGGTGTAGCCATTAGCTGCATATAAAATACTAAATATAACATATTTCAACATTTTTTTCCATTTTAAACCGCGACCGGAATATGATACAAATACTCGATGGTGGTTCAAAGTGAGCTTTAAGTCAAAGTGTAATATTAATCTTTTAAATTGTGTAATGTAGCTTGATGCTACTTGCTCTAATCCACCTGCTGCAGGAGCTTTTCTATTCCATCTTATTTGTTAAATATATATATATATATTTTTTTTTCCTTTCTAACAAGACTTAAGATAATAGGTGGATCTTGATACTATGTACAAACTAAACCACTCCTAGAACTGCGGTCCTGAAACCGCAGGTGCCACTATATCATCCAGTTCGGTAGGTGGCGCTGTCACAAAAAACTAGGGTCCTAGAACTGCGGTCCTAGAACTGGGGTCCTGAAACTGCAGCCTCCGGTTGTCCAGGAACATACTACTGAAAAGCGTGATTTTTTTTCCCAAACCACTTCAGCGAAAATCCCGCCCTCCAGCCGATTTCATTGGTTTAGGTTACAGTGACGGGTAGGTTTAGGGATCAGTGTTTGGTGTAGGCAATCTGTACAGTGATTGACATGACCAATGAAAACTTTAGAATCGGCTGCAGGGCGGGATTTTCGCTGAAGTGGTTTGGGGGAAAAAAAATCACGCTACTGAAAACGATTAAAAACGCTGTAGTATTCATGCCAGGCCAGTAGTTGGCGATATCACTTTGTAAAGTAAAACTATGCGCCTAGACCGAACACGTAATACGCATGACGTCACCGTTTTCACAAATTTGCGCTTTTGTAATTTCACGGAGGCAAAACGGTATCGGTTTTAAAAACTTGTTGCACCTGTCTCCCGTTTCATTTTCAGTCCCTCAAAACGCCATTGTCGTGTGAAAGAATGGCCAAAACGCATAAAATGTTTTCCATTTTAGTTTAGTTGAAAACGGTGTCATGTAAACAGCCTCTCAGTTGTCACATTTTCCAATATACAAAAACAGAAAAGATTGTATATGTCATCAAAAACTACAACTAAGACAAAATTATAAACAAACTTCATTTGGACAATGATGCCAAACATTATGACTTAAAAGCCATGAAATATGAGCAGTGCAACATTATAAGCCTGGATGCCTTTCATGCCATTTCAAGTATGCTGACAAGCTAGGAAAATACCAAAAAGTAATTTAAAATAGAGGTTCAACAAAGTCTGTCTAATGTAAATACTTGTGTGTTTTGGAGACAAAAAAAAGGCACAGGTCTGTTTAAAACACACTTGCATATGCAAAACATAAATATTTAGAAATGAAGGCTCACCTTCATTTTCAGACGCTGGACATGCAACCTGAAGTGCCAAATCAAATGTTCTCCCAGGATTCTCGCTGAAAGAGGAAAAACAAGCCCAATTCACTAACTTAACAACTTAATTTAACAACTCTTTGAGACTGTTAAAGGAACAGTTCACTTATAAACTAACATTTTGATATTATTTACTCTTTCCAAACCAATGTAACTTTCATTCTTCTGTCGATGACAGGAAAATAACAGTCTCAGTCTCCATTCACTATTATTGCATATTTTCCAACATCCTAACATCTGCTTGTGTTCCACTGAAGAAAAAGTTATAGGCTACACGATTTAATGTTAAATTTGAGTTAACTAACGTTATCCCTTTAAAAGCTCGACATGTCATAGAGACTAAAGTATGTTAACGTTAGTCAGTTTTCTCTTGAGAAATCGCAATATAGTCATAATAATTACAGTACAAATCCATAATGTTAATAGAACGAGATGTTAACGGCGTTTGATTCGAGCTAAATTAAATATGTGCAGCTGTCAAGTTTAAATGTCTGTAGAGGAATGCGGCTAGGCTAGTTAGCATGTCTGAGGTAAACAGCTAACCGGTCAGCTGGACCTGTCATCTCCTCTCATTAGCCAAATTAGCTAACTAACGGATTTACAATAGCCGCTATCTTCATTTTGACCGTATGAGAGACTTTTATTTACGGAGACTGATAACGCGTACCGCGACAAACCAGAGGAATGTGTAAGGTAAATAAATGTGCACTTACTTTATCCTGCTGTCCATGGCTAAAGCATCGCGTCAGCAGCAGCTCGCGCCGACGGCGGGAAAATAAAACACCGTCACGCGCGCTGCCTGCGAACCTTCTGGATCCGCGGCTACCTGACGGACGGTCGCGGAAACTGCTGCATTCCTCTATCTGTCGGCGCGCGTGCTCCCCGCTGACGCTTCCTAGACGCGCTGCTGACCGTTTCGGTTCCCCAGGCTGTGATCCTGCAGTGAAGCACCAGGAAGCACCTGGGTCACGCCAATATGCGCGCGTGCGCGTGTGTGTATTTCAGTGGGATTGTGATTGCAAGAAATGAACACTTCGTCATTATTTACTCGCCCTCTTGTTGTTTCAAACCTGTATGAGTTTATTTTTGCTGTGGAATATAAACTAAGATGACAGGCGGAATGACAGCACCAGTCTCCATTTCAGTATTGAAGGGAATGGTGACAGCCTGTCAGTCCTTAATACTTTAGTTAGCCTTCCTTACTTAATATACCTGATCTGTTTTTGTGTTCCACAGAAGAAAGTAAGTCATTAAGTTTTGGAACAACATGAGGATGAGTAAAATGTCATTTTTTGTGTGTGAACTGTCCCTTTAATTGCATCCTTCAGTTCAGCGCTTTTTTTTTTTTTTTTTTTTTGCATGTCTGGTCTACTGATGATAGCTTGCATACTATGCATTTAGCCTATGGTTTGCAAATACCTTCTTTATATTATTACATCCTTAAATGTTTCTGAAGAGGAATGTGAACATAAGGTTTAAAAATAGGCCTGTACAAAACAGGACCTGTTTATAAGGTAAACACTCAATTTCTAGTGGTTGGCTAAAGCAAAGGAAGTATAAATTCACACCACCCACTTGTTTAAAAAAATAGCTTGTGTTTCTTATGGGTCATAGCCTAGTCATTTAAACCTGTTGCAATTCTATTTCCTGCGGGGGAAATTGTGGTGGTTATTGAAGGGGACTCTGCTACTATACATGTCACTGGCTTGTCATTTCAATGGGAACTGCTGTTATCTCTGCTGATCTGTTTGTGACTCCTTTTTTTACTCTTTTTCATTGTTTATCCTTCTGCCCCAGTAAGATGAATAAGCGCACTTTACTATATTCTATTCTAAGGAATTTAATGTGCAAGCCTGTAATAGTAGGTATCATGTAATATGCAGTTAAACAGGCAAAAGTCAACTATTTAATGCTGGCTGATGAACTATATTCATGAACTGCATGTTCTTAGAACAAGGAAGTTCTTCATAAATGTCAAGTCAGTGAAATGTATCACATTTTTATTGGGGCAAGCTGTCATGTGTTTTAAATGTCACAAATATATAATTTATATATAATGGCATGAATTTAATTGTAATATTTATAATAAATTTATATAATAATAATACATAATATTCTATGTAATAATTTATATAGGCCTAATCAATTTTATTTATATAATTGCTAATTACAAAATGTGTTGGCAAAAACAACTGTATGGAGACCAGATTTTTTAGGCTATGTTACCTTTTACGTTTACTTTTTAAAGAATTGTTATCGATTTCATGATTGTTTAAATTAATCAGCATTGAATTTAGTTGAAAGAAACTATAATATGCAGATTTCATTGAGAAAACTTATAAAGGGGCATGTGTGTCGTCGTGAACTGTATTTTTTCACCTCGATAACCGCGGGAATTTTCGACAGTCTTTAATGTAGCTCAGCTGCCTTCACATAATGTACTTCATAATAAAAAAGTTTTTTTTGCAACACACACTTTCCCCTGCTGTAGTTCTACTGTCCAACAGAGGGGGCGCTTAAATGCATCTTGTGAACGCCACTGTTTCAGAACATGAAAAGCACAATGAGGAAGAACACAGTGGTGTTTTGTTTGGTGGTTTTTAACATTTATTGACAGCAGAGCAGAGTGTGAATACAGTTCTTTGAACAACAATACCATTTTGTTCTGTAGGCAGCTGTTCAGAAGTTTGCATTTGTCTGCAAGCAACGTCGTAACAGGACATTTTAGTTGTCCTTGTTATCACGAGTTATGCGGCATCTCGGTTCATGTATACTTTTAAGATTAACCAGTTTTAAACGCAGTCGAACGAATATAATAATATTAAATGAGGTGTACAATAAGAGAACGCCGCGTTCATATTGCAGTGCACGCGAGAGCGAATCAAATTCGAATTCTCACGATAAAAACACAACCGCGTCACATGAAACAAGCACGTTTTCAGATGACGACAGATTAATTTATAAACTCCATCTGGACGCATGCAAGGTAAGAGCAAAATCAAACGCTTATAAAACTGCACTTCTAGCAGCTGGTGTCACATTTAAAGAAACTCGTGTAGATACACAAACCTGAGTCAGTGACCTATGTGAGGGAACCTAACCAACACAGATGGTTCAATATTAGCAACTAGGCATTCCTTCCATTGAAGATTCTACATTTTGTAATTCCAAAGATATTTTTACATTCTTAGGTAACTAAAAAGAACACACTAGACCTCTAACTTACAGACTACTAAGGCTACTTAAGTGTGTGGAAGACTGGGTCATTTTTGAATGTTCCTTTTGGCTGTCAGGAACTATGTAGTTTGATGGCCGAGAGAAAGTTATGGAAGACCCGTAGAGTTGGAGGATGCACAGACAGTGTCAGCTTCACTATGGAGCCAAAGGATGGCATCTGAAATGGCATGCCACAAAAAGCGCCTAGGGCCCTTTTGGCGTCGAAGGCTGTCATAGATGAAGCCAACGCTCTCTGAGGAAGAGTCAGAAATGATGCTTAAGAAACACATTTGCATTGTGTTTATGGTGTATTTTCATTAATGAATTGTTACATTTCTAGGGAGTAAAGTGGATGAAAAATGTATTAGAATAAAGTTTATTTATTATAATCATTTAGTAGCTTAATATTTTACCCTGAAATATGTTATTTACGGAACACTGATCCTTATAAAAAATTATCAAATTTGAGCATTTACAAACACATGATCATCTGCAAATTGCATCTGTTCACAGAATCAGAAAAGAACATACATTGACCCTATAACCGGCTACAGTGTGTTCACTGAGTTTGCCCATAGGAAAAGAGGAAGATGCTGTGGGACTGCCTGTAGACATGTAAGCTTCATATTTTACTCGTGTATCTTTACAAGAGGACTGAAAGAAAATGTCAGTCAGTATTGTATTAATTTTATAGTAAGTATTTTTTATTTAGAGTGAAATTTAGTTGATTTTTTATGGATTACATGTTGCTGAGACAGGAGAAATCCATTCTGTCAGTAACCCACAATACATAATAAAAAGCAAACTGTCCACATTATATTAATTATTTTTTAACTTTACAGTACCATTTGTTAACTCTAAACTTCTTGTTTTTTCCGACAGTGTCCATACGGGCAAATTAATGTTGAGGATCCTGCTAAGAAGAAAACCTTCAACTCTTTGTTTTATGTATAGCAGTAAATGTTAAGATGGGCTGAACAGCTCATTTTGTGTGCTCCTGTATTGAATTTGGACTTCTTTTAATGCACATTCGTCTTACACTGTTTAAAATGATGAAATACGCTACACCAGATGTGCAACCCACACTGCAGGAAATGGTTTGAATCACATCTATCCACTGTGATTTGACTTACAGGAGTTGGTGTGCTCCTCTGTCAGATGAATTTCACAAGCGGGAATTTTTTGCGGTCATGAATATTCATATGGTTACAGGCGATCATAATTTTGACATCTGTCAATTCTGACTACGTACTTCCTCCCTGCAAATGTTCGACCAAGAAAACACAATGGAGAATAAAGTCCTCTTATAAATGTGTGTTGACGTTAAATACAATCAAAGACTTAATTTCTCATAAAAAATATATAGGAAATTATAAAGAAAATATACACAAGAGTTCACAGACGTTTGAGTTGTTATATGTAATTTAAACTAATTAAAATTACTTCCCCTTTAGTTCTCTTTTAGTTGTTCCATGTTTTATGCAACAAATAATTTTGCTTCAACAGATCTCTTATTTTTGGTATAGCATGTACAATTTACATACATACACAGGGTTGCTGTCAAGGCCCTGTGAGGGCCCACTAAAGGTCCTTTATTTTTCCATAGACCCTATGGTTTTTGTGTGTGTATTTCACCATAAAGTATTGTTTAATTGGATATAATAATGAAGTTATTATTCATGTAGATAAAAAAACTAGCAAAATACATATATGTATTTTAGTTGTTAGTGTGGTACCTCCTGGTCATTATGCATCTTCATATCTCCCTGTCTGAATCATATGTCCCTGTGGCTAACTGAGATTGATACTCTGGTCTTTTTCCGATACTAAAACTGTGATTTCAGCACAAACACTGTAAGTACACAGATCACACAATTATTATTAGATATTTCTTCATTTATAATCATGTGCAGTCATTGTGTTGACATGATACTTCGTCTGTAGATATGCAAAGCCGAGTAAGATTTTGCCCCAGGCACTGGCCATCCAACCTGTCACACAGCATCGCAGGGCAGGAACAAGGAAATGGTCTCTGAATGCGGGAATGTGTGTGTGGCAGAGCTCTGTCCCAGCTTTGCCGACTGGCGCAGAGCACGATATCAGGCGGCGGGAGGGTCCCAAGGCGGGTGCACATTTATCAGGAGCAAGGCCCTGTGAACGTCGACAAGGAGATTCATGATCTCAACAGTTCCAGGGAGGACAGGCAGGCGAGGGGCTTGTGGCATCGTCAGTCCGGATGAGAGGCAAATTTATTTGGGTAAAACCTAAGATTAGGCAGCGGAGCGTACGGCAACAACATTTCCAGTGGAATGGCAAAGGTGTCACACTCATCAAGTACCTGGGCCTGCCTGCCACGGGTCTGCTTGTTTTGCCTAGGGACTTGTCTGTCACATTAAAGTAGATGCATTGCCATTCAAGACCCTTCCCAGTCCTAGTGCCTGACCATGAAATAGGCCAACTTTCAAGTCTGCCTTATTCTTCTGCATCATATGACTTCAGAGATCGCATAGTGTTGTCGTTCTCTTTTTCCCTTTCTGTCCCTTCTTTCTCTGTTTCTCAGTATTTGGTGACTGAGATGCAAACGCTACACAATGCTCAGTCCCTCAGAGCACAGACAGATTTCAAGAAAACTTGCTTTAGCAAACAACTCACAAGCCATGCACTCGCTAGTCTTGTCATGTGCTGGGATCAGGTGTGGGAATCATAACAACTGAACAAGAAAACATGAGAGTAAGGAAAGGGAAAATGAGTCTAAAACCTCGA